AAGTCAAGTGTCGAGAGAGAAACAACGTCGAAGGGTTGGTGTGGTCGGTGCCAGCGATACCAGACTATCGCAACTCGCAAGACCATCCACAATATCCCCGCCGTCTTCATGTTGAACACAGCAATCGGGAACTCGGAGCAAAGGCGTTATTGGTCGACACCCGGATTCCTTCCGGAAGAAATTGGCGTCATAGTAGACCACGGCCAGTTCTTCTGTTATGAGGGAGAGGATCTAAAGCTCCACCTACAGCGCGGTATTCACAACATAACGGTGTATTCGCTAGTGGGCATGGCTATGAATATTGACCCAGGTCCGGGTCAAAAGCCTCATTTGGTCGCAATGGCCAACGGTACGTTATCCTCGTTACTTGTGAAGTGGCGATGCTGATAAGTCCAAGTTGCCCATTCTCAGCCAACCGCCCCGGCTACAAGTCAATGGCATTTGTTCAATGACTTCCTTGTTCGGTCTGTGAGCACCGAGGAAGCCCTTTCGTTCCATCCGCCGTGGAAGACACCCTCGGTAATTGCTTTCCAGATCAAGGAGGCAAATAACAAGATCGATATGGACTGGAAGAAGAATATTGATACTTCCCTCCTTTACGAAGATAACAAGTTGGTTCCCTCCCTGAATGTGCCGTCATAGGTAGCCTGCTGACCCATCAAGCCCTCATAACGACGGAAAGACGTACCGAGCGCTCGATTCGGCGAGTGAAAGACCCGGGCCAGAGAGCATCGTCGCTTTAGACACGGAGTTCGTCGCCGTCCGCCAGCCCGAAATCGAGATGAACTCCGACGGCGAAAGAGAGACAATTCGGCCGATCGTGTACGCCCTAGCCAGAGCTTCCGTCGTCCGGGGGCAAGGAGAGGACGAAGGTCTGCCGTTCATCGACGACTACATCTCGATTAGAGAACCCATTGTTGATTACCTGACATCGTACTCGGGTATTACTCACGATGATCTGGATCCCCGCATATCCAAGCACAATCTTGTGCCGCTGAAGGTTGCCTACAAGAAGCTTTGGATCCTGCTGAACCTTGGCTGCAAGTTCCTCGGTCATGGCCTCAAACAGGATTTCAGAGTAATCAACATACACATACCGAAGTCTCAGGTCATCGACACGATCGATCTGTTCTTCTTGAAGTCTCGCCTTCGGAAGCTCTCGCTGGCTTTCTTGGCTTGGTACTTGCTGAAGGAAGATATCCAGCTGGAGACTCACGACTCGATCGAGGATGCTCGGACAGCTTTGAAGCTATACCGAAAGTATTTGGAGTTCGAAGATGCAGGTATCCTGGAACCGATGCTTCAAGATATCTATCGAGGCGGGCGAGACGTCAACTTCCGGCCGCCTGCTAGGAGCGGACAGGCCGCTGATGTCCAAAGAACAGACACGCCTCCCCCCTTACCCAACGAGGCACCCTCTACGCCGGGGGCTCCGGGAGGTGGAACGTCAAGTGGCGGCTTCGGGGCGGGCTCAACTTGGACACCAGGAAAGGGTTCGCCTCTTCGGTGAGGGGATCGAAACAACGCTGAGGGCTCATCGGTGGCAGAGCTGGTTTGGAAGACGCTTCTTTCAACTTTGTTAGACAGCAGTATCAATAGAACAGCAAATCTTCTTACTGATGATCGTCCCTTTGATTGTGGTCCTTGTTACTGTCTAGCGGTGGTTCTGCCGATGCTCATCAACCTTGTGCCGCAAGCTATGGTTGGCTGATTCCAGGTGACGAATCTTTGTTGACAGAGAATCGGGGACCAACTTTACAGATCTTGAAGCCAGAGGAGCTACGCGCTGTTCCTGGACGAGGTAGGCGGCAGGCTCGATCCTAATTCCGGGGAAGGCGTCGCCGCTACGATGAGCAACCACGATGCCGCGGCGCAAGGGAATGAGCTCAAATTACACCGAAAGGAAGCTGGAAGTCTTGAGAGTACTTTGCAACTAATTTTGCATACACCTCGATGCACGCTGCGACATGCCACGATGGTTTCTTCCGACGAAGGATGGGATCCCGTGGCCGAATCCGACCTATTCCTTCGGCTACCTCAACCGCACGGCAATGCGCGGGCATAATCAGCCATCAAAATATTCCCATTGATCTACTCCATCTTTTAAACCTATTTCGACGACAATATCTCATCTGCGCGGCGACCATTCGATGCCACGAGCCAGAAATCGACGATTCTCAGCCGGCTCTCGACGTCCTCTCGACTACAACCGCCGATTCCACCCTCGACGCGGTATCTCTCGCCACAACAGACCGTTTTCATCGGTAAAACTTGCACATAGGTTTGAATACACATAATAAAGACAATTGTACGGTTTTAATTTCTTCATATTGGATTGCGCCTCCGTCATCCCATCAATTATACCATTTTTCTTCCATCTGACAGCCCAGACGCGCTGTCCCAATTGGGACTAGCGGATACCTATCGATAGACGCTACACCATATTAGGCCTGGTTCTCAGCCCTACCAGTCGTTCTTGCAACCACCCCCTCAGGGGGGTGAGCCATTCTGGCCAATCAGGTGTTACTGATCTGGGTGCACTGTCCGTCTACTTCTACCTCTCCTCCTCGAACCGCCCCCAAACCTCCTTCTTCCTTTCCTCTTCACGGTTTGATCGTTTGATGCTCTAGCTTTGCTACGATGACTTCTTTCTGCTTCTCGCCTGCTTCGGCTGCCGCCCGCCCGTCTGAGACCGGTCCGCAGTCCAGGGTTCAAGTCCCTGCCCCCGTCAACGCCAGCACCCTCGTGGCCTCGCTCGGTTCCTTCCTCCGCCGCGTCCCTCGCCTTCTCGCAGCCGCCGTCACACGCGCTGTCCGCCCGATCCTGTAACTACTCACTTCTTCAGCCTCTCTGGGTCTTTTGTCTTCTTGGTAGCTAATCAGTCTTCTCTAGCCGGTACATCGGTACCCCGACACCCCCCGCGATGCTTGCCCGTAGCTCGTCTTCTCGTCAACCCCAGACTGGAGCTACCCGGCCCTCGATCACGGTGTCGTCCTGTCTTGGTAAGTCCTCTTCCGGGGGCTTTTGTTCTCTGTTTACGGAGCCTGTTGTGCACGTAACCACTCCTCCTCCCCGTGGGCCTCCGCATGGATGGACCCTGAGTATGTCCCATTACTTAGGGCCGGAATCCCGGATCAGTCCTTCTTCGGTCGGTTCTCCTTTGGTCAGGTCTCCTTCGCCATCGGTTGGTTCTGCGTTTACGGCTCCTGTTGGACCTGTTTGCACTCCTCCCGGTCGGTCCCCGCATGGCTTCACCCTGAGTATGTCCCATTACTTAGGTCCTGAGTCCCGGGTTGGTCCTCTGCCTTTGGAAGGTTCCTCGCCTTCGGTTGGAACTGTGGTTACGGAGCCTGTTGGTCCTGTTTGCACTCCTCCCCGTTTGTCTCCGCGTGCCTTCACTCTCAGTATGTCCCATTACTTTGAGTCGGTTCCCCGGGCCAGTCCTTCGTCTTCGGTTCGCTCTGCTTCATCTGGTTCTCCAGGATCTGGTTCGGTTTCCGTTTCCAACCTGGAGGATCCGTTTGTGGACGACGCCGCTGACCCTGCTCTGGCTTCGCCAACCCGTCCTTTGGTTTCGCCCATCAGACCTCCTCCTGACTTTGAACAGTTGATGGCCTTTGCCGACCGGCAAATCAACCTGGCTCGCGCTTACACCGCTAAGCGTCGACCTGCCCCCGTCGCTGTTCCTGCTCCCAGGACCCCGGAGCCAAGGACCCCGGAGCAAAGGATTCTAAGGACTCCGGAGCCCTGGACGCTTTCGTCTATGACTTCCTCGCCTTCGGTGGATGCCCCCGTTGAGGAGTCTGGCTCGCTGTTCCGTGATCCGGTTGACCCGCCTTGTACGCCTCCGCCTCGTACTCCTCCTCCTCGTGAGATGGATACCCTGGACCGCAGCGTTGAACGGCAACGGCTCCGGGCCCGCGAGCTCAGCGCAGAGGCCAAGGCGAAGTTTGCGCAAATCCGGGCTCTCCTGTCGGATTGGCCTGCTCCCCAGAGGCGGTACGCGCCCTCTCACGACTACAGCACAGACTCGCCTACGCCGCACACCATCTCCAACTGGGACTCGACCTTGGAAGAGGATCGGGTTTCGGAATACTCCTGGACCAAGGGCGCCTTCCCTGTCGCCTCTCCTGAGCTCCCTGGAGCTCTCGCAGAGTGGGATTCGCCGGCCGCCTCCCCTGTGTATTCTGGATCCCCTGTCGCTTCTTCCTCTGGTTCTGTTGGCTCGTCTGGTTCCGTTGGCTCGTCTGGTTCCGCTGGCTCGTCTGGGTCTGTTGGATCATCTGGATCATCTGGTTCTTCCGGCTCTCATGGTTCCTCTGGTTCCACTGGCTCTTCTGGATCTGGTGGCTCCTCTGGGTACTGTGCGTCCCCCGGATCTACCGGATCTTTCGGTACTTCCAGCTTTTTTGGGTCCCCTGGTTCTTCTGGTTCTGCCGAGGAATCTGGATCGATCTCTTCCTTGCTGGAGCTTTATGGTCCTCGTTCGCCCGTGCCTGCGCCTGTTCCCGTGCCCGTTCCTACGCCTGAGCCTGAGTTTGACCTGGTCACGTCCACGATCACGACCCAGCCCAAGGGTATGAAGGCAGTCACCCTCAAGATCACCCGCCGCGTTCCTAGGGTTAGGTCTTAGGCCCTAGGTCCTTTTTGGCTCCTTCTTCTTGGTTACTGGTCTTGGTTACTGGTCTTGGTTACTGGTCCTGGTTACTGATCTTGTTTTGTGCTTGTTTTTGTTTTCTTTTTTCTCACCCCCCACTCTCGTTCGCCCCCCCTTTTGGTCAGCTAACTTCGATAGGTCCCTCGTTCGGGAGGGTCATTGTACTCCCGCTCTTATGATCTAACTTCCATCTCATCTATCTATCTATGTACTATATATCTCAATATGCTTGCTACATAGAATGTCTCAGCAATATCTGTAAGTCTCCCCATCCAACCCTAAGCTGTCACCGTCCACTAACTTTGAGTATGCAAACTTAGATCCGACCATCAAACTCATCATCATGGTAAGCTTCCCTCCCTTCTCTACTCCAAATTTGCTTGAACTGATATCCCTTCATTTAGACACAATTTCCCGGACTCGGGAGAGTAGTCTTGGTCATCATGGTAAGTAAGCCTTTGGTCCTTCTTTGTCCCAATGAGCTTATACTAACTCTCAATAATCTTCGACAGGTGCTATGGTAATCGTCAAAACAAGGTTGAACAACATGGCAAGTCATTCATTCCTTTCTGTTTCTGTGATTTCAACTAATTTCCATTCAACCTCGACACACTTTGCGGCAAGAGTCAAACGCATAATGTAAGCACACCCTTTCATCCTGTCTCGATATCATTGTCTAATGTAATCGACATGTCCATAGGAAACGATTTCACTTCATCGCCATAGGTCTAAGGCATTCATTTGGTATCTGGACCTGTAGCAACCAAGCTACATGGCAGATACTCTGCTCAGTGCTGACGTGACTACTTTGCCGGCTGCTATTATTCCTCCTCTGCCTGCCCCTATTGCACTGTTCCACCCAAGCCACTATCGTGACGTGGTCCATTCAGACGTGTAGGTGCCAACTTGATGCTTGAAGCTGCAGTCTGCTACAGTTCGTGACTGTACCTTTTGACAACAACAGTGAACCTTCCCGCTCTAGCTGCGTTTTGAGGTATGGCTGCGGGCCTCAAGCTTGTGTCGGGATTGTGAAGTAGTATGGCCACTCTCGGACGCAATGAAGATGTTGAGTAGCTTCTTATCAGCCAGAGAAGTCTTTTCTCCTCCACTCTGCGAGCTGCTTCTGTCGTATCACATCATCGGCGTTGTCAAGACCTTTGTTCTTGTCGCAGAATCACGGGTGAATAGCGCTATACGCGCCATCAGAGCCGAAGGCAGGTCACAGTGAGGTCCCCGACACATGGAGGCATACTAGCGTGGTGAGATCTGGTTCCCATTACGGCGGGGAAACGAGCGAGTTCGAGTTGAGATGAGGTGTTGCAGGTGCTCATCAGCTGCAATGCTGGGGTCCACTGCTAGATCACTATGACATCCCAGGCGCCCTCTCTCCAAGTTTTGGTCACCTGGAGGTGATCTGTGAAGATCTAAGACAAAGACTGCGTATTGCGGTTGCAATGGAGTTCCCCCGTCTGATGTGTATGTAATTCGCTAGTGTTGTTACATTCATTGTGTAGTACCTCGCCAGATAGCCCTCACTTGCGTTTCCAAGAGAGCGATGTGGCACTATGGGAGACCAAGGACAATATCTACACAGAACATGCGAGCGCCCAAGGCGACTGAGTGATCCCCCAAACACCGTGAACGACAGCGCCATGCTGTACCCCCTCGATTGGGTTCCATGTTCTATGATCTCCGATTTACGTAGTTTGACCTAGTGCTTGGGATAGCTCGGCGGGTCCTTGAGAACTGCTCTGCACCGTCCTTGGTATAATAAACATTGTGAGACCGGGGCTTCCAATAGGGAAGGTACGTTACCGACACCCAGTTGTACCGTTATCGAGACAGAATGGTGTGTGTGATGATGCAATGCCTGGCACTCCAAACTCTTCATCAAATACGGAACATCACTAATGTGCAGCAATTCGGAAATTTCTCACGGCAGAACAGTACAATCAAGTAGGCAGAGTCAAGGATATGATGTAATGAAGGCGCAAAATCGACCTTGGCCATCAAATGTTGTCATAAGGTCTAATCGACACTTTACCGAGCCAAGTTACCGTAGAAGGGGGGGGGGGGGATACCTCAACATCAGCATGACCCATCCTGGGCTGCCTCCCTACCAAGAAGCGAGCCGCAAGAAGCGATGGCATCACAACATAGCCGAGCCATGAACCGCTGGATGATGAGGCTCGGGCTAGGCTATGGTCTATTCATGTTTGAGGCCCTCCACTCTCCTTTCCGGAGGAGCCCATTCCGGGTCTGGAAAAGCCCGCATCTCTCAAAAGCCTGGATCACGGCCGGGCTCTATAGTCTCAAGCCGAGATGATGAGAATGAGCGAGGGTTTTCGGCTTAAGGATATGAAATGCACGGGAGCGGCCGGGTTGTGACGGGGGTGGGGTCAATCGATTGGATGAGATTGAGAGACTGTGATTACCACGGTGACTGGTCTAGATAGAACAGCAAACAAGGGAGAAGACGAAGTCCATATTGGGTGTTATTAGTGATGATGCCTGATCTGGCTCGCCAGGATGTCATCCCACGTTTCCAAGAAGATGATTTGCGAGGGGGCTGGTTGACGATACTGCGACTCTGCTAGTCCATGAATATGAGCTCTGCGATAACCGAGCTGAAGTGCCATCCCGGCTTCTCAGGGTCGAGTAGCCGGAATACGGAAGATCTCTTTTGGGACGCTTCGTGCTATCGGTGTACGGATACGTAGTGCGGCTCATCAAATATGCAAGTTCAATCTTGTCAAACCAGGGGTCCGAGACAGATTGTGTAGTGTACGATGTACGAATAGACAAGCAAGCGGTCAGCAGCATCGGAACCACGCCCGGTGGATGGGGTCATATCGTGCATCCCCATTCCACTTCTTCTTGGGACGGACAAGCGTCATCCCGCGGGATGGAGGGGCCGCGCATGGAAGTGAGCGCTAGAATGTTTGCTCGGTTGGGAAGACGGGGCGGTACCTGAGGTTCCTGACATTTCCGCCCCAGGGAATAGAAGGCCGAGGTGCATATGCCATGTTATTGATTTGGTTCCTTTTTGGAAGAAGCAGATTGACTCATTGACACAGATGCCGTTTCGCGTTTCCGGACCGGGGATGGTGAGCTCGGATTCATTCGGGACGAATTTCCGGCAAATGGATGGATCGTGGAACTGCTGGTATCAACCAGCAGAAAGGAACTGCAAGTAGAGAGCAGGAGAGCAAGGGACCGTGGTTTTTCCACCAGTGCCGTGGCGGGTTACCGAGCTTTCGGGAATAACAACAAAGTGGCGCACGAGCGTTGGCTTGCCAAATTAGACCCTAGGAAGGCCAAGGATACGCAAGTGAGAATGTGAAGCTATCTCGCTCGCGTCTTCGCTTTTACGGCGAAAATGTTGAAGATGCCGATATGAGCCAAGAAAGAGAGGCTTGTGCGGTGTTTTCTTTCAATCAATGAAATCTGATTCGTGTCTGTTCGGAGGGGGATCTTCCCTAATGTCTTGAACCGCGACTTTCCGTTGCGGCATCGGCACATTTCGTTCAAACTTGTTGGCTAGCCATAGCCGAATTATCGTGGACGGACAGGATAGAGTTTGGAGGTTCTGCCAGATTGCAAGGGATGGCTGGCCCAAGGCGTTGGTATGGCTGCGTCGTCCGTATCTTCCACCGGTTGAGGGCCGAGGGTGGCTCGCCGTTGCAGACGATCCCGCTTCGTTGGGGACCAAATTGGATGGATGCTGCAGGGCTGCGGTAGCTCAACAGCTTCACATGTCTTCTGCTTGAGCTCGAGCTCGAACATGGAAATGTGGGAGATGATACGGGAATAAGGTCTTTGGGGTAGAAGGAGCTTATCAGAGTTAGCACTAGTAGCGGTAGTCCGTACGCTGACTGCCAGAGAGACAATAAGCCCAATATCTTGAGCGAGCTCAGTGGTTCCCAATTCCAACAAGATGCCTCTCGGTAAGACATGGCGGGCTGAAGGGGAGCCGGTATGGCCCCAACGGACGGATCCAACGAGGCGTATGGCATTTTGACGTCGTTTCGGTGAGGCAAGGTGAGTCGAGGGCAAGTGACGAGGGTGTGAAACCAATCATGTTGCTCTGTCAAGCTGTGACGAAATAAGACGACCCGAATGGATAGTATGGTGCATGAGATACGGGGGCAGCATAGAGGCTATTCGAGCCCAGCCAGTCTTGAGAGCTGGAATTAAAACCATTTGCGGGAGTCGGGACAGGTCTCCTCACACGCGAATCCCGGCGCCAAGTGCGCTTGTTTGGCAAGCACAGGGGAGCGAAACTAGGTAGCTACGTCACCCCATGGCGTCTATCTGTGGGAAGGAGCCCAAGCTTGATGCTCTGCTTCCTCTCCAGCTTCCACTCCGGGGGGAGAAGTATCAGGCAAGAAAGACTGATTTGGTGATACAAAGGAAACCATGGCTATTGCCTCACGGGATGAGAGCGTGACTGCTTGTCCAAGGTCTTGCCGGTTAGGTAGGTACACTACGTAGTAGGTAAGGTACCTGTGGTGAAGCTGCCCTGACCTGGAGGTCATCAAGTGACCCAAGCACAAGCAAGCTCTTATCGATACCGAGCACGTGTAAGGTTACATAAGCGGATTAACTGGGTCTTTCGCCCATGGAGCGTATCGTGGTCCGTGCATATCCACTACCCCGCATTCCTGCAGCAGGTGGCAGCGAGCAGTTCGCAGGCCAGTCCCAGACGAGAACAGCGCTCTATGCAAATCCGTCCCATCTGCCAGACGTCTTTTTACAGTCTCTCCTATGCTCTTTTTTGAATTCATAGCTCGCTGCGATGGCGAGTGACCTTTACCCCAACTTTGATCAAGTACCTCGACCAAATGCAACGGCTTCATCGGCATCGTCGGGGCTTTCTCGTCTGGCCTCGGGAGGGCGAAGGGAAAGCCAAACGAGCAGCCAAGGAGCAAGGGAAGCTGGTCGCTTCTTGTTTGGATGCGATACCAAACACAGGGAACGGTATCAACATCCAAAACCTATTGCACCACAGGAACTAGAAGACGACAATGAAATGCATGGTAATCCATCCAATTTGAAGACCATCTGCTTTGGTTCTTCCACCGCTTCTCATTCTCCCGCACGAGTATTCAATCGCCTCGGCCACCACGCGCTACATGATTGGCACGCCATCTATCAGCCATCCATCTCTTCTTCATCCGCGGCGTTTCCCTTGTCCGTATTGACGCGGAGCAATCCAAGCCATCTCGAAAGGCACAACCAGCCTTCTCTGTCACGGTCTGAGTACCTAACTACTCGAACATGGCTGCTGCTGCCCCGATTCACCTCAGTCACGCTGGCAAACCCCTGCCAGTCTAACAGCCCGAGGTCAGCCAACGATCGACACCCGTTTCATTACTGTCGTGCCGTCATCCAAGCCCAGGCGAAGCCAGGCACCGTCTCACCCGGTCTCTACCGCCAATAGGTATCACTTTTAGCAAGCAAGGCAAGGCATGTCACAACTCGCGGAAAGACAGATACGGTCCAAGAAGACTCGACTGCACAAGGGGTTGCATTCTCCCACGGCGCAAACATAGCCGCCGCCTACCTTGAGCAGCTCGCTGTCGCAGTCGTTCGTTCCGCTCCAATCTGCTCAGATTGTCAGGAGATTTCCTCTCCTGATGGCGCCCACGGTGACGTTTCCAATGTCGGACATGTCAATGTTCCCCTCAACACCAAACATCCACCGATGTGCATGTCGTCCCGATTACCTCCATTCAGATTGCCCAGCTTTCAATTTACTGCAGCCCAAGGCAGGTCGAAGGATGTTCCCGAGATTCGAGCGATTCCCCAGGTATCCATCCATTCCACCCTGTAACCTGTCCCATCCCATCCATCCATCCATTCATCCATCCATCCAGCTCTCTAGCACTCTAGGTACGACTACAAAGTACTTGGACAAGAACGGGCCAGCCACGCCCCCCTCATTGCCTCCGACACGTTGATGGATGAGGTGTGCCGAAACCATTCAACCCCGCATCCGGACGGCACCAGACAGACGCGACAGACAATGCGCCTGGCTTCGCAACCACGGCCTCTTGGTGAAATCCCCAACTCCTCATTGGCTCGTTACCTCCCCAAGCCAGGGACAACGCCGCTTGGATGGGAGGGTGGGAAGCTTTGAGTCGTACTGTAGTCTACCTCTCGTCGCTGGAGCTTGAGGAGGGGGGCTGGCATGTCTCTCTGTCTTTGCTGGCTAATACCTCGTAGTCCAATGGTCGACTGACCGACCGACCGACTGTGACCCTGTGTGTGTGAACTGGCATACCGACAATGCCTTCCATGTACTGGGTAGAGAGGTACTTGTCTGGTCATCAACACCAAGTATCTCTCTCCTCCATGCCGTCTCGGACACCAGGATCAGCCAAGGTAAGTGGCACAAGGCATGTGTCTCTCTCATAAATATATCGACACCATAGCCTCGACTCCGCACGAGATGCCCATCTCTCACACCATCCATACTTTTTGTCTGTTCCGTACCAAGGTACTGCACTCATCGCTCTCGTCCACCCGTCCCTTTTGAGACGTTAAAGCTACCTATACGCATCTCGATCAACTGGGAAGCATCGGTCCTCCTCCAAACAACACACAGAAGGAAGGCTACTGCTGGAATCGATCAACGGCTTCCAATCCGCCTTCCTCTACTAGCCCAACTGGGAGCAGCTACTGCCGAACGTTGATCGACCCGAGAAGCACCTGACATCTTGAACCACCTAAGCTACCGTCAACTCCCGAAGGAAACCATCCATCCACGAGCAAAGAAGGAATTACTTGGACTCGTCTCTACCTTACAGGCCACCGCATCCTCACAAACTTTGTGACTACCTATCTTACCGTCTACCTCTCTCTTGCTACAACTTGCTTATTTGCTTGCTCGTCCGACTCATCTTTCTCTCGACCTTCACCCTCTCCTCTCTGACCCCAAAGCAAGCCATAAACCCAACCCCGCCTTCCTCTCCTCTTACTACTTCAGCATTTCCCCAACGCCAGCACGCGACCTCGAATCGAACTTGAGTCTTTGTGCAGAGTCATTGCGACGCTTGTCTAACACTCTGATACCCTATATCGACTGCAAAACGTCAAACCATTAGCTGTACGATAACCAACCCATCCAACAAGACATCTCTTCTCTTGGTAAGTCAAAACGTTCGAGCCAACGTCGTTCTTCTCTCAATGTGTCTCGAAAGCTTTCATTGGGGACGCGAGGCGTTCAACAAGGACGTTTGAGCTAATCCCGTCTCTCTTCTCTGCCATCCCCCTCAACCCCAACCCCGCTGCGGCTTTGCTCTCTGCAGACGACCCGGCATTCTTCTGCCAATCTACCCTACCTGGCTCTGCATAGTGTGCAAGTCCGAGACCCTTGCACATCTACAGCTCGAAGCTCTACTAGCTCCAGCTCCAGCTCCAGCCCAAGCCGGCACCTTTCACTTGCGATCCACCTTATTCCGCCTTACACCAAACCCACCTTGCCTTGCGTCTTACTCTCCTCCGTCTCCCCTCCTTCACTGGCCAAAGTCATCTCCGGCCTAGTGCGGAACACCCTCCTCTTCCTACTCACCGTCATTGAACCTCTCTTCCACTTACATGGGAAGCGGAACACCTCAACCACGGCTGCATCCACCCGGAGCTACCCCCCGTCCCTATCTTTTCCGATGACATACCCCCGCCCCCACCGCCTCATCTTCCAGGCCGATGAGACCCGGGACCGTCACCTCGGTCACTGCCTCTAGTTCCGCCGGATGCCCAGCCCTTGTCTCGTTCTGCATCTACTCTACGCCGAAGCCTACGCACTTGCACTACACCACTCATCTGCATACCCTGTCCAACGTGCGCCCGTTTCTGCATGTGGGACTTGCCGTAGCCCAAATGTGGAATTGCGTCTTTGCGTCCCGTCTCATGCTTTTGTTGGACCCCCACCGGATCTGGTCCTCGTTCAAACTGACCGGGGGGTTGACTTAACATTGGTATTTGACAGGCACGGAAGAACGAGGGAGCTCTCTCATACTATAAAGCTACCTGTGAAACCTCTTGGATCGAACGTTGGCTAACTAGTGTCCTCTCTTCTTCTCTTTGACAGCTTCTCTACCTCCCAACCTAGCTCTTCGACTGTCTACCCGAAGCAGCTATTATTCTCGACGACCTCTTCAACTTGTGCCGAATTGGATACTTGACCATACTGTGATTCAGTCCTACTTACACACCCACCATCATGAGCTCTTCATCCATCAAGCAGGCAGCTGAGGCCGCACGAACTCGCACCTCAGAAGTTCTGAAGGGAGACGGTGCCGCTGTCGCCAATGACTTCCTCCACACTCCTGTCATGAGGGCAGCGTTGCCCTTCATCAACGGCGGTATCAGCGGCATGGTAGCCACCTCTGTTATTCAGCCCGTCGACATGATCAAGGTCCGCATCCAGCTCGCTGGAGAGGGTGTTGCCGGAGGACCCAAGCCTACACCATTGTCAGTCACCCGGGAAATTCTTGCTAGCGGAAAGGCCCTCGACCTCTACACCGGTCTGTCGGCCGGCCTCCTGCGCCAAGCTGTCTACACAACGGCCCGCTTGGGCTTCTTTGACACCTTTATGGGCAAGCTCGGCCAACGCGCCAAAGAGCAGGGGAACGCTATTGGCTTCAAGGAACGTGCCACCGCAGGCCTCGCAGCCGGAGGTCTTGCCGCCATGATTGGAAATCCTGCCGACCTTGCCCTCATCCGCATGCAGAGTGACGGACTGAAGCCCCTTGCTGAGCGCAAGAACTACAAGAGTGTCATCGACGCTCTCTCAAGCATTGCAAAGTCTGAAGGTGTTGCCGCTCTCTGGGCCGGTGCCGCCCCCACGGTCGTCCGTGCTATGGCTCTCAACTTTGGTCAGCTCGCCTTCTTCAGCGAGGCCAAGGTGCAGCTCAAGCAGAATACGCAGCTGTCCTCGCAAGTTCAGACTCTCACCGCCAGCGCCATTGCCGGATTCTTCGCCAGTTTCTTCTCTTTGCCCTTCGACTTCGTCAAGACCCGCCTACAGAAGCAGTCCAAGGGACCCGATGGCAAGCTTCCGTACAAGTCAATGGCCGACTGCTTTGCCAAGGTCGCTAAGCAGGAGGGCGTTATGCGCTTCTACCGCGGTTTCGGTACTTACTACGTCCGCATTGCTCCCCATGCGTAAGTGGACCATCTCAACCCCGTGTGCCCGTGTTTTAGGTACCTTGTTTGTATGCTAACAATAGTGCGTTTCCAACAGAATGGTAACACTCATCGTTGCCGACTACCTTGGCTTCATCACCAAATAGACGGAATACGAATAGCACGAACGACACGAACGAGAGTCTCATTCAATCGCCGGCGCCCACGAGGTTTCAGTCGTCTCGAATATTTTTTGTGGCTGGAGTGTAGCAGAGCATAGCCTCCCCTCTGAGCCAATTGGGCATCGCATTCTGATTAGTCATTCTCAATGACTTGGCGCTCTTGGTGTTATTGCAAGTTGGGTTTTCTTGGAGGTAAATAGTATTGCGTTTTGGGTTTATATCAATGGTTTGGACAAGGAAACGAGACGAGAGAGAGGCATACAAACGTACATAGCCCCCGCCCGGCCGTTGAAAGGGCATTGACGGGCGTATGACCCCCCACGCTTTTTAGGGGATCAAATAAAGAAGAATTCAGCCATGTCTGCGTGTCTCTTGGTGAATCTGCATGTTTGTGTGTGCCTGCGCATGTGAAACTTTTTTCTGTTTTTTTGAGAGCGGGTGGGGGGTTGAGTACCAATGACGGTGTTTGTGTGTTCCTCAACATTGTCTGTGTGAGCCAGTGGCATGCCTTTGGTGAGATTCTTGTCTGAGCGGATCAACCATTAGAGGCAGATGTTTATCTAAGCTCACCTGTAGAGTGAGTCCCAGCAGAGAGGCTGAGGTGTGCAGAGCCAGTCTCCTTGGTCCACTTGGTCTCACCGAGCTCACCAGTTGAGGTGTGTGTGCGTGTATGTATGTGACATCTTTCATCATATCCATGTGGCTCTTTGGCCAACTCAACGTTCATGTCTGGGGTACAAGCTAAACATGTACGGCCGTTGAAGGATGCATGTGAATCAAATACCCTTCCGAGAGTTCAATCTGAGCACTTGATAAATCCCCAAGGGGAACATTTTGATCGTCTCTGGAAAATCAAAAGCGTGCTGGAATTATTAAAGTCTTTCTTTGTGTATACCGCCATTTGCCATTTCGCCTGCCCTTTCTTATCTGCAAAGAAGTGCCGAACCAAAACCCTGGATATCAGAGGCTGGATTGGCTTTCAGCCAGCCACCTGATGCTTTTTTCAAAAGAATCACCCAACCCGGGCGGGGCCATCCCATCACTGTAATCCTCCCGTCCATGTCCTGCCCAGGCCCGTTGAAGACCTCATTTGTAGTACGCCTTATCCGTTGTCAAAACACGCATCCTCCCTTCGCTTCGCTCCTAGTCGTGACCCGGCTTGCTTGTCAACGTTGGGTGTAGGACCAGTTCATCTCCTTAGAGTTGATGAATCAAACGGAATGATGTCCAGATCCACGTAGCCAGCCTGGTCAACCTACTCCTGGCTGGCACTGAGGTCCGGATTCTTCTCCCACAGGTTGCGGAGGATCGCCGTGATACCCTCGTCTTCCTCTCCACCCACAAGACTCGACCCGCTGAGGCCCTGGACGCCGTTTCCCTCGTGAAGGGCGCGACCGCTCTGATGGTCGTCCCCGTCGGCCTCGTAGCTCGATCCAGCCCCGTTGGTCCGGATGGAATAAGCGCGCGGGGTGACGGGTCTACGGGTGGAGCCGGTGCTGGTGCCGGTGCCGCCCGATGCCGCAGCCAGAGCCGCTTCGTTCAGGCTCGAGTTACGCATATGTTGCCCTCCCGGCGTAACGCCCCCCCGTACCGACGCGGCCTTGCCGTTGCCGTTGGCGGTCCCGTTGCGCGGTATCCGCTGCGTCTTG